TAAGTTATAGATTAATATGTATCAAAAATTTCAATTTTTTAAAAAATGTCTTAGAATCCCATTTTCCTAGCAAACTTCCCATATAGTACTTGCTTATATCAATATTAATCAGGTCATCTATTGGTTTAAAAGGAATTATCCTATAGTTATTCAAGAGCAACAGGAGTTAATCTTTGGTACTTTGACTCAAGGATCTTATTCAGTTAGAAATTACTATAGAAAGATAAATAAATATGCTAGCTGGGTGAAAATATCTGATCATGAAAAAAGAATACAATTTATACGTGGTTTGTCTTCTGAAAACAAGTTGGAAATGAAACGACTGGGTTTAAACAGACCTTTAAATGATGAATTGATTGAAACATTGGAAAAGATTGAAACAGAAAGGAATAATTTGCTTTTGGGTGAAGATATTTATAACCAGCCGGCTACCAAGACAAAACCAAAAGCGCCTTCTTATCAAAATATTACTACAGAAGATATTGATAGAATTGTAAATAGTAGGATTCAGACATTACAACAATCAGTGCCAAATCAATTACCAGCATCTTCTTCCAGTCAAGAAAATATTACTAAGGTTGATTTACAAGCCATAGCTAAATCCTTTCATGAAACTATGTCTCGAGCGACTAAAACTCTAAATAATAGTAAAAAATCGGCCAATAAGAGAGGAGAAGACCATATTATTAGATATTTTTTAAGTGATCTAATAAGAGAGAAAGGCAATGTAGCCCTTGGTAATGTTTATAATTATGACTCCATAGATGACATTACTGACAGTATAGCAGGATTGACACTAAATAGTATCATAAATGCCGTTAAGCGTGCTGTTAAGAAATCATCAGAACACAAATGCTTCAAATATGAAAGATCTGGACATAATTCTCGAAACTGTCCTCAAAAAAAGAAAAAGAAAAGCAAGAAGTCTAAAAAGTGTAAGGTTAATCTCACTACTATTGATTCAGATTCAAATTCAGATTCTTCTTCTGATACCTTATCTAGTGATAGTTCTGATTCTGCTACAAGTTCTTCCGATTCTAAAAGCGATATCATTATTAATATTACTAAAGCAAAAAAAAGTGAAGCAGAAATCTAGCTTCAAGAAATCGTCCTTTAAAGAAATGTCTAGCGCTAAACTAAGAAAAACTCCACTAGAGAAAACTATTCATAAAATTCTCCAAAGTGAACTTAAATTAATTTTTCCTACACATTTTCCTTATGATTCTAGTCCAGTTGTGTCCAAACAGATAGTAACTCCTTTGGAGCTGAAGATAGTATCTCAAAGCAATACACCTTTGGCTTCTAAAGGTTCAACTCCGAGTCTAGAAGAGGAGTCTTTAGATGATCCTATGAAAATCTATTTCGTTCAAAAAAAGGAGTTGAAAATAAGTATTGCGACTGTAAAGTGTAAAATCAAGCATTTGAAGATTCCTACTATGACTCTTGATTCTGGAGTAGAACTTCTTATCATAACAGAAAATATTGTTATACATGTGAGAGCTAAAATTAATAAATCTGAAACATACGATCTTAATGGCATTGTTACTGTTCCAGTTAAATCTGTTGAAATTGTTTCCAATTTACCTATTACTCTAGTTCTAGGCTGTACTATCTATGAGGATTTTATTGTTGTGAAATATTACAAGCCGATACTAATATTTTCCAACTAACTTTTAAAGAAATACAATTACACGATAGATTGAAAGACCAACAAGCTAAAGATTCCTCTTAATGGAAAGGACTATATTATCCTAGTACTATGCATAAAGTTAAGAATAAGCTCGAGGTAAATTGTGTGATCACTACTTTCAAATGTAATGATATGTCAGTTCTGAACAAAGTTTCTCAAAACTTGCAGAACTCGCAAGACTTAAGTGAGGATATTGATATATTAAAAAAAAGCGAGTTATGAGGAACTTGAAAAAATACTATATAATACCCTCAAGTATAATGCAGAAATTAATGAGTATTGTGAAAGATTACAGATACGCTATGATGAACTACTTAGAGAATAAGCGAGTTATTTTTCTAATATATTCTTCATATTTGCTATATTTTTTATACTTTTTTCTACCACCTTTTCATGCAATTCCTTATTGTTTATATTAGAAGTTTTTAAGTTCACTAGGATCGGTTGAGTTTGGGTGGAAGATGATAATAGAGGTGGTATCCTACCCTTGGACTTCAATTTCTTCTCTTCAGTCTTTTTCATCTTCCCACCTTTTTCTGAAACTGAATCAATAGATTTGTTAGATACTATATTAGCATCATGTATTTGTTTTTCCAATTCTGTAAATAGGGAAACATCTTGGCCTTGGATCTCTGATTCAGTTCATTCACCCACAACATTTATATTAGAAAATGGAGCTGTTGGCATATAAATTGGTCGATTTTATACAATCCTATTTTTTTCTTCACCTCTCCAGATCTGATAAATTTGTTTTTGTGATATGCAATATTTATTTGTTAATTTCTTTAAAACTTTATATCTAGGCTTTTTTTTCAATACATTGCATAATATGATCATAATCAACCGGTGAAAAAGAAAGGGCATCACATCTCATCTATTGCCTAAGTATAGTGGTAATATTTTTTATATCTAATATAATACTCTGAAATAATTGTTCAAAGCGTAGCGTAAGACATTTCTGGTTAGAACTAAAACTATGCATGTGGTGTCTGTCACGATGCGTGATTTGCCAATCACATTTCTGTCAATCATTTTGTGTAATACTTAAATTTTTCAGTTTTTCGAACTATTTAAAAAAGTTCAATATGGTGCAATTATAGAATACGATTAAATTATTCTAATAAAGTTAATAATACAGACATTTTTTTAATTAATTGTATTTTTAACTTTATAAATATACAGTATTAAAGATATTTTTATGTTGATTAATGCTTCGAATGTTCCTAATGGTTCCCATTACCTAGTTTATTAAATAGGATATATAGAAAGAATGTATTATTCTGAATATATAGGATATATAGGATATTTAGGAAGTAATATTCTGGATGTATATGATATACAGGATAAATAGGATATTTAGAAAGTATGTATTATTCTGAATAAACAGATTATCTCTATTATCTCAAAAATTTTATTTGTGTATTTTTTTCCTTCTATGTAACTATGCTAAGATTATATTCAATGTGCATACACTGAAAGATATAAATAAAAGGGGATATCGGCTGGGTAGTGCATATGAGCAAGAACTCGAAAAAAAATTAAGATCTGTTACTGAATTTAACTTCAAGATTAATAATCTCAGTGAAAAGCTGGTAGATAAGTACAATGAGTGAGAAAAGGAGTTCTAGTGAAGCTATGCTGATATTAGAAATAAGATTAGCTAGTTAAATACGTTCAGTACTAAGGTTAGATCTCAACTTATTTCTAAACGGAAGTCTCATTCTGAGAGTCAACGTAAGCATAAAGCGGAGTGAGCCAATTACACTCAAATCAAATATTAAAATACTAAGAGAGAGCTAACTTTGATCCAGAAAGCTTTGTCTGCTGATGAAATCAAGATTCTCTCTCTTGAAGTTAAAGTACGTGAATTGGAAGGTAAGTTGGATGACTTAAATCTAGAGCATACATACAGTGGCTTCCAAAAGAAACGCAAGTGGCATTGCTTGCCTTTAATTGCCTGTAACTCACTGTGCACGAATG